CTAGCTCTAGGGGCTTTAAGAAGGAAATAATAATGTTTATTTTTGGTACTAGCCCCTAGCATTAGCGGGAGGAAAAACAAAGAAAGAAAGGAAAAAAAGATGAAAAAACTTAGGCCTTGCTTGGATTGTAACTTTCCGTCAGAAAATTACGTTATTTTCCGTGATCACATTTCCCTATTACCTTTTTCCCTCACATACATCAAATCGCTACAGTAATTTTTCCATGAAAAATCATGAAAAATGCAATCCAAACACAACCTTAGTTGGGAAAATAAAGAAGAAAATAAAATGGGTTGGATTTGGATTTAAAAGGTTGGGCTGACAAGGGGCAAAAACGGTTGCACGGTTATGTGCATTTTTTACTGTGCGTAATTTTGATTACACATTGTGTAACTTTCTTTGCACACGACATAATTTTAGAACAAACTTTTGTAGATCTCACACACAGTATAAAAATCGAATTACAGGATGTGATCTGAACAACATAAAATTTTTTGATCAAATCATGACCGTCAATTGCCAAGAACAGTTGTACGATCCAAATTTCCGGGCCGTCAACTGCTAGGCCGTCAACTGACAACCGTTCCTGCCCCATATTCGGGTAGGCACGATCCAAATACAGAAGCTTCGCCATTCTGCGAAGGGACCCGAGAGGTTGTCCGGAAAGAACACACAAAGCTCAGTAGGCCAATAGGTGTGGCAGTCACACGTCAGCTTAAGCTTAACTTAGACTTAAGAGGTTGATAGGTGGATGAGTTTAATGGGCGGAGTTGGCAAAAGTATTAAATGCTTACATATATATAAATTTTGTTGAATAGACATTTAAAGATAGAGTTGGAATTTTAAAAAATTTTATTAAGCCGCAAGGAGATTTCCGTCATTTTCCACTCATCTCTGGGGAAAAATTTTTCTTTTTATGAACTATAGTATTAAAATATTCTTCAGATAGCCGGCATATTTTACTTTTCACACCTAAAAAACTCTAAAATAAGTCAATTTTTATGTTTTTCTCCCCTTCGTTTCATTGGATTGTAGATTTCATAGAAAAGTTTTTATGTTTTTTAAGAACATGTTTCTTAATCATATTTTTACCTCATATATGTCAAATAATTATAATATAATTATAAAAATAACTATTCAGACGGGCTCTAAGTAAATTTTTTCCCTTTTTGCTAATAATAATTAAATACTGAGGTACAACATGGACATGTAAGGTGCGTGTACAATTGTTACATAGATTATGAAATTTTTCAATGGATATCCAATAAAATTATACTTTACTTATCATGTAAATATACATAATTATAACTATAATTATTTGTGTCTCCTACATTTAGATGTTTTCTCAAATTCAATATAGTTTATTGACAAAATTAACTAATATGATCCCTCTTAAGTCTTAACGAGTGCCATAAGCACCAATTAGCCAAACTGATAGTTTATTCTTTGACTCATAAATTGCTCCATAAGGGAATTTTTCTGTTCTAATACTCTTTATCTTTCAGCTAGTAACTGTTGATGGAATTGTCAACAAATACACCAAGAGAAAAAAAAATAAAAAGAAAAAAAGGGTATACCCAAACAAGCCAAAACAAAAAGTCTAGTCAAGCCCACTACGCAACCCAGATCAGGAAATGTGAAAGCCTACGGTCTATTTGGGCTGCACTTCAACATTGTCCGTCCAACTAGCGTGGCTGACTTTGTGCTATTCAACCCAAGAATTTGCTGATGTTAACAATGGGTGCATTTTGATTGGAGATTATTTGGGAAAATCTTTTTTTTATATCATATCATTTTTAATATAATATATATGAGAGAGAGAAAAGTGATTGAAATATATATATATATATATGATGCAAATAAATAAAATTATGCAAATAATAAAGTATCTAAACAAACTTTTTTTTTCAATTAGATAGAATTTTTCTCTAGAGAAAACAGCATGCTATTACATAGGCTTTTGATTTTTGGAGTGCATGTAATAGTCACAACCTATAGTCTAACGTTTGAACCTACGGTCTCTCAACCTATAGTCACAACGGTATAGTATTATACATACTTTATCTAGTAGGTAAATCACATAATATGAATTTTTTACAGTACAGTCGGCAAATTTCGAACTTAAAATCTTTCGCTTACACTTTATCTGTGCGTATCCTTATACTATATAAGATTGAGTTTTGATCAAAGAATAGGTTGAATTTCAACCGCATAGGTGGGGGTTTTTTGGGAATGTGAAATATTATGTATTAGTTTAAAAGCTTTAAGTACAAGTTAAGAAAGCATGTATTTGGGTATGTTTACTGAAATAACCCCATTTTAATACATTTAAAGTTGTCATTGATGAGCCATTTGGGTATTGATGGAATGTTTAATTAGTGTGCAGCCATTTTTGCATTTTGTACAACCCATATATACTTGTGTGTTGGTGTAATTACCGGAATATCCCTTAACTACCAATAATTCCCCTTTTTAACCGCAAATAACCGTTTGAGATGTTGTTTTGTCTGAAGCGATTGAATGGCAATCGGATTTAGGAAATGAGCTAACGATTTCTCTATCATTTATAATCTGCATTTATGAGCCACAAACGTTGATTAGTGTATCCCCTTTCAGTTTCAGGAGTTAAGTTTTCCCTTTTTGCCTTTGTCTACAACAATTTGCTTCACCGTTTTCTCTTCCATCTGAGATCAACTCTGAAATTACCTATTATTTCGTCATTAATTACACTCAATTCAATTGTCCAACCGTTGATATGTTAATTAGGGGTGGCAATCGGGTTTGTTTCGGGTTGGTGGATTGGGTTGAGACCCGGGTATAACAGAAAATCCGTTGATCTGAACCTGACCCGCCAACCCGAAACAGGTCAGAATACCTGACATGAACCCAAAAATTTTGGATTGGCGAGTTGGCGAGCCGACCCGAAATGACTCGAATCTTAATTTTTATTTATTAATTTATCACTGTAATTTCTAATAAAATCAATTTTGTACAAGACTAATTACATAATCAAGTAATAAAAATTTAAATAAATAATCCCAAACCAAATCTAAAATAAATTGAAACATTGTAAGAGTGTTTTATCCCAAACCAAATATAAAATAAATTAAAACAGTATAAAAGTATAAAATAATATAATACATTATTTGTCTAAATATAATAATTTCAACTTTGCATAAGTTAAATAAATTCATTTAGGATTAAGTGATTAATGTTTTTGGAAAAAAAGAATAACTTAGTTTAGTTAGATAAAATAATTTTTATGTTTATTAAATTGTTTTTAATTCATAAAACTGGTTATTGGGTCATATCAGGTCACCCACGGATTAATCCGAATTTGACTCATTTTCTTTTCGGGTTCATCGGGTTCGACTCGATTCTGACCCGAACCTGCGAAATCTCAACCCAAATCCATTAATTTCGTGTTAGATTCGTGTCATATTTTCAGGTCGTGTCGAAAATTATCACTCCTAATATTACTGTCTAAACGGTTGATTATCAGTTTCTCCTTGTTTCGCATTCTAGGATTGGAATAATTTTACATGGTTTCATGCTAATCAACTCAAAATGCTTTTCAGTCCCAGCTACTCCTGGTGGTTCAGCGTAAGATTAGATTTCACCCCCCCAATTTTTCAGTTCCTCCCTTAATTTTGTTGGTGTGTTTTTAGTACTTACAATTAGCGACTCTTATCGCATTACCTAACTCCAATTGGTCTGGGTTGGTTATAATTTTATAGGTTTGCAACAACAGCAAGTAAGAGCTCTCGGTGGAGATTCTGGAATAAGGTTAGTTTTATGTGTTATTCTGCCTTTCTGCATTATCAACGATCTTCAATTTGACATAGTTTTATTGTAACGCTGTGTGAATTGATTGATTATATCATTTATTTTTTCATACTAAGTTTTATTTTTTCTCACAATGTACTATTATTTGTTCAACAAAAAAATCTCCTACCCCACAAGGACCAAACACTCGCGCGATGCGCGGGCACTCCCCCTAGTAATGTATACTATGAGTTAGTTAACAATTGGACCGTAACACAAAGTTATGATGCACATCATCCGACCATAAGTTAAAGAAAAAGACAGAAATTTATTGCTGAGCATTCAGCAAATAGAAATAAATTTTTTGAGTCTTTGACCATTTCTTTTCTCTTAAATGTACCTGCGCTTGATTGGATAATGCCACTTCAAGGTAGATTTCCATAGCTTTTTTAGAGTTTCACAAATGTTTCTCTCGAGCCCATTACTCAAAGTAAAGCTGTGCATGCGTCCTAACTTCCACAACCAGAATGAGAAAGTGTAATCTAAATGCCGCTAGAAGATTCATTAGTCACCTCCCCTAATCATAATTAGTACATCCGATGATGATGATGATCGTCATCATCATCATCAATTATCATATCAAGATCATACTAATCATCATGCTTAAATTAACAAGCACCATAATAAATAGAATCAACATACCGACTGGTTGGTAGCTAGGAGTATGAAATTAATTTTCACCAAAGTACCACATGCATTGTTAGTTGTCGACAATGATTAATGTTGTACTTGGTACCATTTCTTAAGAAATTCCATTTCCATCAACTCAACAAGACCCACTCAATTTGTCCTCATCATGGCTTCTCCTTCTCCAAACTCCTAATTAAAACACAACCATGTAAATTTTCACAACAACAAAAAAACAACGCCACATGAGGTGGTAGGAATTATTGCCACATACATAGCAGAATTCTCTCGTTGACTGTTGTCGTCACAGCTTCTTGTTTGGTGAACCCCCTTCTGTAATTGAATAATCACGAAAGCTACAAGAAGGAAGAATTTGCGTTCTGTGCATGCACGAACATTGAAAGCAACCCATCCCTGCATTAAATATAACATATTTGCATGAATGTGTGTATAATTTATGTTCCATTATTAGTCTCTGCTCGATGCTATTGTATTTGCCCATATATATGGTCCCTAGCTACAATGAGGTTCACGAGTGGGTTGTCACATTTGGATGCAGACAATACATTGAGCAAGAGGTAGATCGGGCTGGCATTGGAAAGGCTCTCCGTTGTCTTCTCCTACCTTTTTTCTCTTTTCATCTTTTGTCTCTCCCCTTTGCTTCTAATCTCCATGTCCATGCTGAAGAAATCCTATTCTTCAGTTGTAATGGTCATTTTTTCTGGAACACAAGGGAGTCAAATGTAGTACTACTAGCTAGTCCTCTGAAATAAGTTTCAGGTAATTAAGATCAACTGCGTTCATTTTGAAAGTTCATAGAAATAGTAAGCTAAAACAAATGTCATATACAGTATTATACTTTTTAACTTACAACTTGCTGAACAAAATTGGGGTGCGGTCTCTTATTGAAAACCTCAAAAGCCATGATTTGAATATCTTTGTGACAATCAACATACACGCCTTCAAATGTCATTGAAAATTACAGTCGATTTGTTTTAGATAATATAGAGAAACTCAATCCACAGGTGGTTTTGAATACAATCTTTTGAATATATACTGATTTGGTGAAGAATATAGATTCAAGTTTTTCATGAATATTTAATAAAGGACTCAAAGTTGTTGGCTGTAGAGTGTAGACTCGTCCAATTGTGTTAGGTCAGGCGCCCATTAAGTCCGAAAATTCTAAGAGGACGAGAAATCCTTCGTAATACTTTTCGATTCCATTGGCATGCAAATTTTGAAAATTTAAGTAATTCCAATTTTGTGTTACCAAGCTCTTATTTGAAAAAGGTTAATGAGAACTTAATCCAATATCATGAGATATGATCAAATGTGAAACTCCAGGAATAAATAAAGATTCGTAAATGCAAATTATATATCCAATTCATCAACTTATTATTTAAACTCCTTGAGCCAAGACTGTTAAACTTTTATTGGGTTCTTACTTACAGGAATATATTACTGTATTCCTATATATGAATATAATACACATGGCAGAATATATATATATATATATATATGTAAAAAGCTACAAAAAGGGAAAAAAACAAAGAAAAATGAAATTTGGAAGTAATTATGAATTATTTTTGGGATGATGATCAAATCCGAACCTAGTCATGGCATTTGATTTTCTCTTCCATGGCAATTGAATTCTTGCAATGAGCAATTGCAGCTTGAATTGCAGCTTGCAATTCTTCCATGGTACTGTCACTTGTGGAGCAACTCGAAAGAGTTCCGGTGGCTACTAACAGCCCACTATTTGTTGGAGATGTCCTCATGGATGCAGGAGCTGAAAACTCTCCTCTTCTTCCTCTAAATTCTGGTTTTCTCCTCAGGCTCAAATTCCCTGAATATGAATAAGATTGCCTGTGAAATTGCATATTTCCTCTCCTGCTGCTGCCGAACGACAAAACTGGCCTAACCATTCTGATATACCTTTTCAAAACATGGCAAAAGTCCACCAGCTTCAGCTTCCTCTTATGTCTATCTTTGTCTTCCAGCTCCTTTTCTCCTGCACCACTATTGGTAATATGGTTCTGATCTTTTCTCCATTTTGATGATAGCCCGAACAAGGAAAATGACTTGGACTTGTTGCTTCTTCCGCCTGTTTCATAGCCCACATGGTTTTTTTTGCTGTTTCGATCCTCATCACCAATCCTCCTACTAATTATCTCGCTTTTACTCTTGCTGCTTGTACTATTCACGCTGTTGAGGTTTTGGCCGTCGGCTTCGTATAATTCTTTAATGGGGAGAGTAAAACTGTCTAAGGAATTTGTGGAAGAGCGAGGGGAAACGGGTAGGTGGGACAAGAGATGGAGAGGGAGTAAGTGGCCGTGAAAGAATATGTCATCAGCTGGAGATAAATCTAGAGCAAATGAAGCTGGAGATGACTTGGTTTTATCCGCAGATATACTGTTGGAGGCTGTACTTTTTGCTGTAGTGGCTGTACTAGTCGTTGCCGATGATGGTTGGAGAGATATTGTAAAAGAGAATTCATGAGATGGAGATGAAGAAGGAGAAGGTGGTGAGGCTGCAGAAGTTGTACTAGCAGTAGTTGATGCTTCTACTTGTTCTTTGCTTCCTTGCTTCAACATCCCTTCATGGTATTGCTTCTCATCATCTTTGTCCCTCCTCTTCTGATGTTGGCTGTCCATAAATTCCATACGCCAACGTTAGAAGAAGACTGAGAAAAACAATTAAACCCCAAAAGGGATTCCTGCAAAAGTTCAAGGTATAGGGCTAATTAATCTTTCTTGTAGTATAAGAGGCAGTAGTAGTAGTACAAAAGAGGGATAGATAAAGGATATCAGAAAGTTGTGGAGAGGGATAGAGAGAAGAGGGTGCAAGTGTGCAAGTAGAAGGGAGGTGGGAACTCTTAGCAAGCTGTAGTTTTGAGTTGTTTAAACTGTCTTATGCAAACTGTTCATTATTAGTATCTCAATTATATATACATGGCCAAAAGATGCATGTGGTGGCTAAGAACGATGAGATGAATTTCAGCAGGGAGGAGGAGGAGGGGGGGGGGTGGGTCCTTATTTAGTTATTTTTTCACATCAGTAGCTATAAGATAGTACTGATATTAGGATTAAGGATAGAAAATTCCAAGTTTTGTGCCAAATTCATTGACAATTTGACATGATATCTCGAAATGAGGCAACTGGCAAGTGGCAAAGCATCATATTCAGTTGATTAATCTCTTGTTACATGCTACTATTGCCTTTTTTTAACGTAATGTTTATTAAAGTAATTTCTCCATACAGTAAACAGGTACAACGTACGACGAGGGGTCGTGCTCAAATATTTATATGTACATACCTATCCTCTGCTTGTTTCAACTTTCAAGAAGAATCTGTGGTGGTAGATCTGCCTAGCCCCTTACTATGTACGATTCAGCGCAGATAAAAATACGGTGCAGTCTTGATTGTCTTCTGTTCTCACTTTCTCTTTCTTTGTGCAACTAATTCAGGAAGGAAAGATCTTTTTGTTGGGGTTTTAGACTTTGGGCATTAATGTAACAGTAAATCTTTGAAAGTGTGTCACTAGTACTGCTACATCCTAATGCAACTTTTTTTTTTTTTTACAGAAGCAATATGACCAAAATCCCATTCTTGGAGGGACATACGTGTCTTCACCTATTGTTTTGCATCTCACTCGTTTGAATCACCAATAGTTCCTGTCAATGATCTATCACCATGGAATAAAATATCCCACTTATTGAAACTTTTGCAGAAGATACTTTTCTGTATTTTGCTTCCTCCTTCCTTCCCCAGCCATGGCTGGGAGACTGGTCATGAAACTTTACTGGTAGAGGAGGACGCAATTTTGTCTTTTTTTTCTTCAATATGCCATGACTGTTAAGCTCATTTTCTCCCAAATTATCTTCAGTGCTGCATTTTAAGAAGTTCCAATGCAATTTGTGAAGAGGACCACATCACCATCGACATTGATCCCAGACATACCACTAACGAACTAAAAATTACAGCAGGTTGCAGACTTTAGGCCTGCATTTTTAAGCTAGTTTTTTCAATCAAATTGGTCTCAACAAGGCTCTTGTGGCTTCCCATATCTTATCTTGCCAGTACAGAAAATAAACATGGTCCGGTGCACAATATTCTGGCCCGTGACACGGATCATTGGGGTCAAGCATGAGATTGGTCAGATTGGTGATGGTACCACGAATTGTAACAAGTCCTTGTACACGGAGATACGTCGTTGATATTTTGCATTAATGATGCCTTAGTAAATGCAAATAATGGATTGTCGCTGAGGAGCCATTTGCCCCCACCATGCTTGACTTTGATCACAAAGACACAAGATCAAGAAGAGACTTCGAAATTGAAGTCTCTGTTTCGCTTGGAACAGAATAGTTTTTGATCATCATCCAGTCAAAAGTGTTTGAAATCAAGAGATGTTTTCATCTTACTCTTTAGACGACCTCAGTTAGGTTGAATGAGACATTTAGGGCGAGCTTGAGCAAGTCAATTAATCTGTATAAAATATGCGAAAAAAAGAAGCTCAGTAGAGTCATCTTGACGTGATGATGATGAAATTTATACAATTGAAGACGGAAAAATTGAAGTGAAGAGATACGTAACACTACTGTGATTATGAAATATTAATAGTAATTTTTTTTTCTTTTGTTGGTCTTATTAGGCTTTGAGGCTTCCCTTCATACCTTTATATATATATATATATATATATATATATATATATATGTATATATATATATATATAAAATAAATGGGAGATTTAAAACTTACAATTTCTCTTATCGTACCAGTCAACTCAAGTCTCCTCGTGGACTAGGTTTCACTTCATACTTGCAACATAGTATGAAACATAGCATTACAATCGAACATGAGATAAACCCAACACTTGAACACCATCACAATTTATGGGAGTAATTAGCATAGTTATTAAACCCGGCCTGGCCCGGCGGTCGAACCGGTCAAATCGATGAACCGACCATTAGACCGGGCCAAGTCTTAAATTGAATCGTTTGAGCAACGGGACCGTTGACTAGTCAACAGTCCGGCGGTCGGACCGGGCTAAACCGGAAACTCGGCCGGTTTTGTCCACGGACTGGTTTTGGTGGAAAAATTTTATTGCCTTTGTCAAAGCTCAAACCTTGGACGTCCACCAATCACTAACGTATGCTTACCACTAGGCTGCTCCGAAATTTGTTAATAAAAGGTCTTTATTATAATATATATATATATATATGTTTTTTCAATTCTATCTTTTTTTTCTCTAAAATAAATTTATTTGAAATCTTTTAATAAAAATTAGTACCCTCCAAACTCTATAATTTATAAAATGAATTTAAAAAATAACACATTACATAATTCATTTCAAAGACAAATATTAATTTAATAATTTTTTACACTTAAAATTCATAAATAAGCTACATTATTACACTAAATATAGATAAAATTTTACACTTGAAGTTTGGTGTATTACTAAATAACTTTATATTTAATTGATTCTTATATGAATTAATTATTTTATAGCAAATTAAATTAAATGAGCTTTTACTATGGCATTATTTATTACAATTTATATCATATATCTTATATAAAAAATTATGAAATATAATATTTAAATATATTTAGTGACCCACCGGTTCAACCACTCACCCACCGGTTGAACCAGTAACCCGTTGACTCACCCCCTTTGCCGGGTTCCTTCCCGGGTTGGGTTTAATAACTATGGTAGTTAGGCATTTACCATACAAGAAGGAGCTAGAAATTGGTTGGCAAAATGGAACCAAGAGGGAGAACAAAACAGCACATAATAATAGCAGAGAAGTTTGGTAAAGAAGGTACTATTTTTTTTTGCAAGTGTAGGACCGCACACACGTGTAAGCAGTGGACCATGAGACCATGTTAGCAAACGAAGAGTATTTTGTTTGCTTAGTTAGGGTCAACATCTCAATCATAGAGACATTATTTGGGCGGAGGGACTCATCTTCTCCACTAAAACCACTCAAAAATCTTATAGTATATCTTAAAAACTAGAGATAAAGAGGGATGGGGAAGGAGAGAAAGGTAGAATTAGACTGCTAAGTTTTTGTCTTACACCACGTTGCTTGCTGGATTGTCTTCCTATGACCGCTTCTGTCTTTAGAGAAAAAGCACAAAGATTCCGAGTGGCTAGTGGCTAAAGTAGAAACAGGAGGAAAAGTTTTCCCACCAAGGATCTTTGCTGGTTGACAGTGAACTCTTTTTTGTTCTATAACTCGTTTGCCTCCTCTCACCTCAGGCCCTCATCTCTCTTTTCCTCCTCCACTATTCAGCATATATCCACATTGATTCCACCACTAAAGAGAGCCCTGTACCCTCCCTGTTCACAATAGAGTAGTTTACTCGTAGCAAGTATTATCTTCCCATTTTGTTTTTTAACCATGTTTTTTTTTTTTTTGGTGAAAACCCAATACGGCTCAATGGTCAAGGAGCATCTTTTCTCATTTTGGAATCAATAATATGGTTTCTTCACACTGTCCCATTCTTTCTTTTTGACCTTTCGCTCCACGTACGTTAGGAAACCATGTCAAAACTGTTCTCTTGATTAAAACACACACCAGTCTATCATAACATATTATTGTGCCCAGTGGAATTTGATGTTAATTTAACATGCAATATCACCAACTCATCGGATTAGACTGGTAGCAAATATATATTCGGGGTATTCCAATAGTCTGTCCAATTGAACAGCAAATAGAAAGCGACGGTCACAATTGGAATGATAATGCATCTGCCTTCTACTTCTCCGGTCAGAAATTTATCTGTTTTAAGTTGCTCTTCATTTGGTCGAGACATTAGCAGCCAGCGATATCACAAGTTGATTTACCATCCCCTGTTAATCATCAGCTTATAAAAGTGGCCAGCCTAGAACTGTGACGGTGGCCGGACAACTAGACAAGATAAAAGAGTACTCTTTCCCCATACATAACAAATCAAGAGCTGGATATATGCAATGAACATGAGGGATTTTGGGAAGTACTAGAACCGGCCAAGTTTTTTGTGGAATATGACATACAAACGTGTTCTTGCCTCAAAACAAAGAAAAAGGGTTATAAGAGATTCCTTAATAGTAATCAGTTTTCATCAATAATTCCGCAGAGAAAAGTCCAACTTGCTAAAAGAAACCAGCAGACGAGCAACCAGGGACCTATGGTAAAGGGCAGAGAGATGCAAGTCTCTTTAGTGCACTGCACTGCATATCAGAGCCAGAGGGGCGTGCGTCCGTGCGTTTTGTGCTCGAGTGCATGCACATATTAAGGGATATAACCGGAGTTTGCTTTCGCCATGCACAGTCATTAATTCAGTGAAAAAGACACTGATCGTTATTATTATCCATGTAAAGTGTCAACATCGACCCCCTAAAAGGTAATTTGTCGATTATGGAAACTAGAATATGCGAGCGAGTCATGGCTAGTTAATTTTGTCAATGACACAAATTATACGTCGAACAGCTTCGGATGAAGACAAAGAAGGTAGAAGGCACAGCGTCCATGGCAGCAGGCCCCTCCTCCCTGGTCAAAAAGGAAGTCCACAAAGAATGTTCTATTGCACATCTAAATGCTGAGAGCCAACTACATCATGTTAAAGTTTAACCGGGAGAGAAAAGAGAGCTTTGTGAAGTCCAAAGACTGATAGGAAAAGAGAGCTCTTTCTGCATATAGTAGTAGTAGTATTTGGCACTCGCCAAACTTCAAAATCAGATGAAACAAAGGAATATATTTTAGTTAAGAAAAGCTCAGTCTTCAAGAAAAACTGACTTCTTTGCTCTGAATGTTTACTTACTTTCTTCAGAAGGAATGAACGAATAATTGTTACATGAAGAATTTTTAACAGCAGAGTTGTCAAGGAATCTTCTTCCCGGAGAAAAATATCAATGAAAAAATTATCTCACAAACTCTACTCAAGCTTTGTGTGGAACATACACTACAGAATTCTTTCACCCTTTTTTTTTTTTTTTTGGCTCCATGGGAGGAAAGAACCAGTATATAAGTAAAATATATTCATTGGTCAATGAATTACCTCTAATCTGTCATTTATGTGCTCATGAATTACCATCGCCTTACACATCTTCAAATGGAGGAAGGCAAACTCCATGATGTATGAAACCTTGTTAGAAGGATGAAGCTACCCTACACAGCGTTTAACTCTCCATCATCTGACCTAAAGCAACAGAGGTGTAAGAGAAAGATCCTCTTTATCCCAGGTATATCACAAAGGATCCAAATCCTCACACCATTTTATGGGTGACCCCAGAATATTAACATTAGAAACTTTGGTCTTCCCATCATCATCAGCTCAGTAGTGATTGTTAGTGCGGAACTCATAGATATGCAGTAAAAGAGGGTGGTTGATTAGTCACTCCCACTACTGTATCTCCCATCTGGAATAAGTCAAATATAGGTTCAATCAACAATTAAATCAATGAACTTTTCACAACAAACAAATGTAGAGTGCCATACCTCCAGAAGGTCTCTTCCCCTCCATAGCTTCTTTTTTCTCCTGGCAGCTTGAACAAAGGAAAGGACCATCCCAAGGCCGTAACTTTCTCGAATTCTTTGAGCCTACATGTATTGAAATACCTTCTCCAGGTTTTATTTCTACTTGGCAAACCGCACAAACAAACAACTTGAACATATTGCAAACTGGATATTTTGTATCCAACCTGCATCGATATGAACAAATTAGACAAAATGCTAGACATGGATCGCCTGCAGTAAAATGTGCTAGGCATACCTCCCTTTCTTAAAAAGAAAAGATCTTTGAACGATGATATGACAACATATAGAAGAAAACACGATCCTTAAACAAGCAGACAAGACAGATGCAGGTCACCACAAACC